GAGTCACCAGTGACCTCGACAGGCTCGACTGCGTCTACCTGGGACACACCTGAAGGGGCAGGACCCTGAGGGGGGAGGGGGTCTACCGGGGGGGGACCTGGTACAAGGAAGAGCGGGGGCGGGGGGGGGGGACGGAGTGCGGTAGGGGAAGAGGCGGTAGTAGGGTACCGACTCGTCGAACGTGACGTCCTGAGAGGACAGAACACGGCGAGAGGTGGGGTGGTAGAACTGCCACCCAGGCGCGTCTGGGGGGAACCCCAGGAAGACGCAAGGAGCAGCACGAGGGGACAGTTTGTCCGCAGACAAGTCGCGGACAAACGCCCGAGATCCCCAGACCCGGAACGCCGACGCATCGCCCACCTTCCCGGTCCACAGCAAGGCTGGGGAGGTCTCCGGCCTGGAGACCCTGGGGTGAAGGTTGATCTGACGTGCCGCGTACCTCACCGCAAACGGCCACAGAAAATGGGGGGCAGCCGCATGCATCATAGACGTACGAGCGACGTCCATGACCATGCCAATGCGGCGCTCAGCAATCCCATTTTGCTGCGGAGAGTCCGGGAGCGTGAAGGTCTGACGGATGCCTCGTGCACGACAGTAGGCTCGCAGAAGGCCAGAGGAGAACTCTCCGCCTCTGTCCGAGTGCAGACGCAGAACAGGAAAGTCGGAGCCAAAGCTCTGCCTGAGCTGGAGACGAGCTGCGCGGATCCAGTCGATCAGCACCTCAGTGACATCACCCTTGCCGCGCAAGGGGAAGACTGCGGTGTAACGCGAGTAGTCGTCAACAACGAGCAGGAAGTAGCGCTCGTGACCCTGCCCACGGACGCGGGCTGGGCCCCACACGTCCATGTGGAGCGTCTGCAACGGGGCCTCTGTCGGAGGAAACTGGGAGGAGTGAGGGGCAGCACGCTGGCGCCCCTCGACACAGGGGACACAGGTAGGGCCAGGGCCCTGAGGAAGGGGAGGGAGGGACCGGGGAAGACCAGACACTAGAAGACGGGAGGCCATGCCTCTGAGCCGAAGCAGAGAGGGGTGACCAAGACGGTGGTGCCAGAGAAGAGTCTCGTGAGACAGGAGACGACAAGAACAGGGGGCAGACTCAGGACCAGACCTGGACGCAGCAGCAAACACCTGACCCGACGAAGCGACTCTACCAGACTCAGTAACGGGAGGAGACGCAGTGGTCAGTGTGTACAGGCTCGACCCCGGCTGACGGGTAAACGTAGCCAGGTGTCGGCCTGTGCGAGCCTCTGTACAGTGCGTCACCCGCTGACGCGCAGGAGTGAACTGGTGTACACCCGCATCCTGTAGGTCAGCACCACTCACCAGGTTCGTAGAGAACGAGGGGAGGTAGAGACCAGACAGGGTGCCAGAGGGAGCCGCCGGACACGGGAGGACTGTGGAGAAGCGAGACAGGACAGGACCCCCAGAGGGGTCAGCCAGAGACACTGCAACCGGTCGACTCAGCGGTGTGAGTGTGGTGCGGTCCCTAAAGAAGGAGCGAGACGCCCCAGAGTCAAGGGTGAAGGTGAGGGAGGCCGAAGCCGACGTAGTACCTGAGAGCGCAGACTCACCAGTACCTGAGGACGCAGACACACGAGCACCTAGGGCAGCAGCGTCGCAAGCACCTAGGGCAGCAGCCTCACCAGGACCTAGAGCAGCAGTCTCAATACCCGGATCGGGCGGGAAACACCGGTAACAGTCACCCTCATCACTAATAGACACAGCATACATGGCAGAGAGAATAGCATCAAAGTCAAGATCATAGATGGCAACACCCGCCCTGGACAGGTCACCCCAACGAGGGATCTCTGAGGCCTCCGGGAACTGGTGACGCCACGCGTCCGTCAGGCGGCCAAAGCAGCGCTGAGTGGGGTGGGGACCCCCACACTGCTCACCCGCACGGTCGCCGGTGCGCAAAACGTAGGAGCACGGACCAAAACCCCCACCTCGCTGACGCGCAGTGTACCACTCACGAAGCTGCTGAGGGGACAAGGTGTCACGACCACGCTGCTGCTGCTGGCGCGAGCCACCACCGGAGCCACTCCTCTGCGAAGACCCGCGACCAGCACCACCTCCACCCCCGCCGCCTCCTCCGCCTTCGCCGCCTCCGCTACTGCCGCCGCCTCCACCTCCGCCTCCGCCGCCGCCACCTCCGCCACCCCCGCTCCCACTGCCACCGCCGCCGACACCTCCGCCTCCACTGCCGCCACCGACTCCTCCACCCCCACCTCCACTCCCACCGCCACCCCCACTCCCCCCACTGCCGCCACCTCCACCTCCACCGCCCCCGCTCGCTCCTCCAGCGCCCTTGCCCCCCTTGCCCTTGCCAGAGCGGCGTCTCCCACTAGGGGCAGACGCCACACCGACCGACTCAAGACCAAGGAGGTCGGCCGCAGCAGCAGAGGCAACAGAGGGCAGAAGGGGGGAGGGGGAACACCCCTCAAAGATGGGGGTGCGCGGGTCACCACGAGAGGCCCCTACAGCGACTATGCTCTTCTCGGCCGCTAGGAGGGACTTCTCGAGGAGGTCAACAGTGAGAGTGGTGGGACAGACAGAGAGAAAGTGGTCCCTGACTACGCGAAGGGAGTCAGGAAGGCGAGTGACTATGTAGTAAAGAGTGATGTACATGGGGGGGGGGTTCTTGGCGCAGAAGTCAGCAGGGAGTGCAGCGCGGTAGCGAGTGTCACTAGTGCGGAGGTGCGTAATGAGGTCAGCGACTGTGGGAAAGGCAGCAAGGTCAGGAAAGAGGTACGGTAGCATGAGACGACTCAGTGCAGCAGTGGCAGGGGAGGAGTAGCGCGCAACTACAGCGTCGTACAAGGTCTGAGCACTCTTGTACTGACTAAAGTGTGCACGCTCGGAGGTAGGGAGGTGGCGACGCACAGCAAGACGTGCAGCAGCGTCGCGCGTGGCCCACTGGGAGCGAACAGTGGCGTCGGCGTCAGCAGCAGGGGCAGTGGAGGCGCCAGAGGTGAGGTCAAAGAGAGAGAGACCATCTGCCCTATCGCACTGTAAGAACAGCTGCAGGTCATCCACCCAGACCTCAAAGTCAATGGCCCGACCCTCAGCGTCAAAGACTAGAACACTAGGGGTAGCCATGACCCTAGACGACTGGCAGCGCAAACAGTAGGGTGAGGGCAGTGCAGTGAAAGGGCGCTGTGCTCACCAGACTGGACAGGTCGGGCGGCCCGGAAGGAGGGCGGCGCGGCGGCTCGGCGGCTCGGCTGTCGGGCGGCTCGGCGGCTCGGCGGCTCCGCTGCTGGGCGGCACGGCTGCTGGGCGGCTCGGCTGCTGGGCGGCTCGGCTGTTGAGCGGCTCGGCTGCTGGGCGGCTCGGCTGCTCTGCTGTCGGGCGGCTCGGTTGTGCTGCTGAGGGGCAGCACGGCTCGGGCTGCTCGGGCGGTGCGGGCGGCTCGGGCGGCTCGGGCGGCTCAGCTCCTCAGCGGCACAGGCGGCGTGGGGACCGAGACGGTGGCGCGCGGCTGGGACGGGCGGCGCACGGGCGGCGTGGGGCCGGGACGGGCGGCGCGCGGGCGTCGAGGGGCCGGGACGGGCGGCGCGCGGGCGTCGAGGGGCCGGGACGGGCGGCGCGCGGGCGTCTAGGGGTCGGGCCGGGTGGCGCGCGGGCGTCTAGGGGCCGGGACGGGCGGCGCGTGGGCGTCGAGGGGCCGGGACGGGCGGCGCGCGGGCGTCTAGGGGCCGGGACGGGCGGCGCGCGGGCGTCTAGGGGCCGGGACGGGCGGCGCGCGGGCGTCTAGGGGCCGGGACGGGCGGCTCACGGGCGGCGAGGGGCCGGGACGGGCGGCGCGCGGGCGTCGAGGGGCCGGGACGGGCGGCGCGCAGGCGTCGAGGGGCCGGGACGGGCGGCGCGCGGGCGTCTAGGGGCCGGGACGGGCGGCGCGCGGGCGTCTAGGGGCCGGGACGGGCGGCGCGCGGGCGTCTAGGGGTCGGGACGGGCGGCGCGCGGGCGTCTAGGGGCCGGGACGGGCGGCGCGCGGGCGTCTAGGGGCCGGGACGGGCGGCGCGCGGGCGTCTAGGGGCCGGGCCGGGTGGCGCACGGGCGTCTAGGGGGCCTTGACGGGCGGCGCGCGGGCGTCTAAGGGGCCGGGACGGGCGGCGCGCGGGCGTCTAAGGGCCGTGACGGGCGGCTAAAGGGGCCACTAGGGGCCAAGAGAGAGGGGAGCGCGACTCGGGTAGGGGCAGAGTGCGCTCCGGGCAGGAAAAAAAACGGTGGGCCCTAGGAACAGTTCCCACGAGGGAACCTGCTCGATACCATGAGAAGAATGAAGAACGAGAGTGGATGAACTATGAATGAGGTGAGTACATATGTAAAACCCTAATTGGGTTGTACCCCCTATGGGATACCCCACTATAGCCTACACAACAGCATAAGCTATATAATGTTCTGACAGACTTCGGTATACATTTGCCAAATCTCGAGGGTTCAAATGTTCACCTGCTGAAGCGAACACTCCCCCCAGATATTCCTAAATCACTGAGTAACCCCGAGGTCAAAGGTTAACCTTTGACAGAAATCCAATTGAATGTGCACCCTGGTTTTAATGAATACGCAACCAATTTTAACCGAGGAAACTTATATTTGTTTTGATCGCACCAGCCTAACCTTAAAGCCCGCGTCCCAAATTGCGGGCCGCGAGGGTCAAGTTTTTAAAACTTGACGAAGTTGAGTGTCCAAGCTTTTGAAAGTCACGCACTTGCAATTTGGGACTTTCGAAGACAGATTCACTCACCAGGGGGAAAACCGAGGGTTGGCTGGGTCTCGCGAAAAAAACGAACCTAGACGAAATCGGAAACTCTCGCCAAAGCCCACACCAGAAAAACTCCCTCTGGTCAACTTTTAAAAGCATGAACAATTTGGGCCGCCGGCTTTAATCTCCACCTCTGTTTCTCTGATCTGTTTTCTGATCATAATCTCAATTCGATGTGTCTAATCGGCGCGCTTCACGCAATCAGTCATCCTATGCTCTCGCGATCGTACTGATGGAGCCTACCCGCGTGCCGGCGGAGCGCGTGGACAACATCTTCTTCAAAAAGCTCGGCGTCGAATTCCGCCTCGCGTCGGCCAAGGACGTGCAGGATGCGAGTCGGCGCGGCGATGGACGGCCAGGATCTGACGGCGAGGATGACAGCGGCGGGCTTGGAGGGGACGGGCTGTCGTTGCCTCCCGGCGGGCCGCGCCTGGCGGTTTCTAACAAGTTCGGCGTCTCCGTGCTCGCCGGCGCTTGCGGTACTCGCGGCTCACCCGCTGCTCCCTCGCCTCGCACAGCCATCCGCATCTAATGATTGCATTTTTATGTCGACTGTGAATCAATCCCCACGCCGGCTATAAACATTCTCTGTCATGTTGGTTGTTTCTCCTTGCCTCCATCCCTTCCTTTCAACTCCCATTTCCTCACCTTCCCATCCCTCCCCACCGCATCCCGCGTCGGGCGTCGCAGGATTCTACGCGGCGCACACGCGCGATCTGCTCGTGGTCGCCATGGGCTACAAGCGCCGCGCCGAGGCGGGCGACACGTTCCTCGACGCGCCGCTCTACGCCGGCGCTACAGCCGTGCGGCGCTACCGCCAGGACGGCATCACGGCTGTAGCGCTGGCGGCGGACGAGCTCACGCTGGCGGTTGTAGCGGGCGCGCGCGTCGCGCTCTACAGCCTGCCGGCGCTGGTGGCGCCGTCTCCTATGCTCAAGACAGACGAGGAGGTGAGACCGCGCGTGGGATACGCGTCGCTCTGGCGGCTGTAGCGCCGGCAGCAACGCGCAAGCACTTTCCTGCGTGTGGATCCAGGTCGAAACTGTTTTTCAACGCGCAAGCACTTTCCTGCGTGTGGATCCAGGTCGAAACTGTTTTTCAACGCGCAAGCACTTTCCTGCCTCCCCACTTCCCTGCCTCCCCACTTTCCTGCCTCCCCACTTTCCTGCCTCCCCACTTTCCTGCCTCCCCACTTCCCTCCTTCCTTCACCTCCCTCCTTCCTTCACCTCCCTCCGTCCTCTCCTAAATCCTTCCACCTCCCATCGCCCCCCTCTTCCCCTTTCTCTGCACGGCCAGGCGCTGGTGGCGGAGGGGGCGGCGTGCAAGGCGGCGGAGGCGAGCGGCGCAGCAGCGCGCATGGAGAACCCCCCCGCGCCCCTGCACACTGTGCGCGTGGCGGACGCCCTGCAGGCCGCGGGACGGGGCGGAGAGCGAGAAGAAGGCGCGCGCGTGGCGGAGTGGGGGTGGAATCCGGAGGTGGCGGGGAGCTTTATGATGCGCACGGAGGGGGGGGTGGTGCTGGCAGGGCGCGTGGGGCAGGCAGGACTCAAGCTCGTTGCTGATGGCGCCGCTGCTGGTATGCATGCCAAACTCGTGTTACACATCCCTTGCTGATGGCATGTTCTCATCCCTCCACCTCCCTCACTCCACCCTGTCTCTCCTCCCCTCCTCATGCCGCCCTCTCAGCCTCCTGGAGCCCCTGCGGCATGTTCCTGGCGGTGTGTTCTGCCTCAGCGCGCCTCACCTTCCACTCCGACCTGCTGCAGCCGCTCTTCTCCCTCTCCCTCGACCTCCCCCCCTTGGGCGATTGCCCTACCTCGGGTGAGTGAGAGCACCCCAAGCCCCACCACGGGTAAGTGAGTGCATGTGCACCCCCAACCCCACCACGGGTGAGTGCACCCCTAACCGCACCTGGGACGAGTGAGAGCACCCCTAGCCCCACCTACTCGTGTGCTCCGCCTCAGCGCGCCTCACCTTCCACTCCGACCTGCTGCTGCCGCTCTTCTCGCTCTCCCTCGCCCTGCCCCCCTTGGGCGATTGCCCCACCTTGGGTGAGTGAGAGCACCCTCGCGTCTTCATGTGCTCATTCCTTCCCGCGCACTGCACTGCACTGCACTGCATGCCGTGACGTGTGTTCTCTGTGTTTGTGCACTGCGTGTGTGCTCGCTGCACGTGTTGCTCTGTTGCGCTGCCCGTGTGCATCAGTGACATCAATGCGCTGGGTGGCGCCCAACGCGCTGCTAGTGGAGGGGGAGGCGGAGGACGAGGACTTTGGGGAGCCCACGTGCTCACTCTTCTGCCTCTCCTCATTACACGGCAACCTGCACGAGGTATGCTCTCTGCTGCAGCACCAGGCAGGTACGCCTCTCTCTGCCTGCACACTTCAAACGCGCTGCTAGTGGAGGGGGAGGCGGAGGACGAGGACTTTGGGGAGCCCACGCGCTCGCTCTTCTGCCTCTCCTCGCTGCACGGCAACCTGCACGAGGTGTTCCCCTCTCTGCGTCACCACTGCCTTGCCAGGACCGCTGTGTCACTGTGTGCCTTTCCAGCAGCATTTGCAGCAGTTTCACTGCTCCTGCTGCCTACAGCATGTTCCACCCCCCCACCTGCCTTCTCGTTGCATCCCTGTGTGGGCGGGCAGGAGGAGAGCAGCAAGCAGGTGGGCTGTTTGTGTTCCTTAGAGCACTTATTTCTGACTCGACTCAGCACCACAGCACCTCTCTTACTCACTCTCTCTTACCCCCCTCCTGTTCGCCCTCTCACCTGCACCTGCCCTCCCGTGGTGTCCCTGTGAGGCTGGGCAGGAGGCGAGCAGCAAGCAGGTGCGCCAGCTGGAGGGGGCGTTTGCCGGCGTGGAGGACGTGCCAGGTGGCGGCATGCTACTGGCCACGCTGCAGCAGTGGTGCGTGCCGTGCTTCTCCTCCACATCCCACTGTTGCATGCCCTCCGTCCCCTTCCCCATGCATGTGTCTTTCAACAGCAACATATTGGCCCACCCATGACATCGTTTTGCATGCATGTTATGTTATGGTTGGCTTCGCTCAACGTGCCCACATGGCCCCTACCCCATCCCTCACCCTCCCTCTCTCTGCTTGTGTGTACCTGTGCTCTTGTGCGTACCTGTGCTCTTGTGTGTACCTGTGCTCTTGTGTGTACCTGTGCTCTTGTGTGTACCTGTGCTCTTGTGTGTACCTGTGCTCTTGTGTGTACCTGTGCTCTTGTGTGTACCTGTGCTCTTGTGCGTACCTGTGCTCTTGTGTGTACCTGTGCTCTTGTGTGTACCTGTGCTCTTGTGTGTACCTGTGCTCTTGTGTGTACCTGTGCTCTTGTGCGTACCTGTGCTCTTGTGTGTACCTGTGCTCTTGTGTGTACCTGCGCTCTTGTGTGTACCTGTGCTCTTGTGTGTACCTGTGCTCTTGTGTGTACCTGTGCTCTTGTGTGTACCTGTGCTCTTGTGTGTACCTGTGCTCTTGTGCGTGCCCGTGCTCGTGTGTGTGCGTGCTCTCATGCGTGTGTGCGTGCCCTCATGTGTCTGTGTGTGCGTGCCCTCATGTGTCTGTGTGTGCGTGCCCTCATGTGTCTGTGTGTGCGTGCCCTCATGTGTCTGTGTGTGCGTGCCCTCATGTGTCTTTGTGTGCGTGCCCTCATGTGTCTGTGTGTGCGTGCCCTCATGTGTCTGTGTGCGTGCCCTCATGTGTCTGTGTGTGCGTGCCCTCATGTGTCTGTGTGTGCGTGCCCTCATGTGTCTGTGTGTGCGTGCCCTCATGTGTCTTTGTGTGCGTGCCCTCATGTGTCTCTGTGTGCGTGCCCTCATGTGTCTGTGTGCGTGCCCTCATGTGTCTGTGTGTGCGTGCCCTCATGTGTCTGTGTGTGCGTGCCCTCATGTGTCTGTGTGTGCGTGCCCTCATGTGTCTGTGTGTGCGTGCCCTCATGTGTCTGTGTGTGTGTGCCCTCATGTGTCTGTGTGTGCGTGCCCTCATGTGTCTGTGTGTGCGTGCCCTCATGTGTCTGTGTGTGCGTGCCCTCATGTGTCTGTGTGTGCGTGCCCTCATGTGTCTGTGTGTGCGTGCCCTCATGTGTCTTTGTGTGCGTGCCCTCATGTGTCTGTGTGTACGTGCCCTCATGTGTCTGTGTGCGTGCCCTCATGTGTCTGTGTGTGCGTGCCCTCATGTGTCTGTGTGTGCGTGCCCTCATGTGTCTGTGTGTGCGTGCCCTCATGTGTCTGTGTGTGCGTGCCCTCATGTGTCTCTGTGTGCGTGCCCTCATGTGTCTGTGTGTGTGTGCCCTCATGTGTCTGTGTGTGCGTGCCCTCATGTGTCTGTGTGTGCGTGCCCTCATGTGTCTGTGTGTGCGTGCCCTCATGTGTCTGTGTGTGCGTGCCCTCATGTGTCTGTGTGTGCGTGCCCTCATGTGTCTGTGTGTGCGTGCCCTCATGTGTCTGTGTGTGCGTGCCCTCATGTGTCTGTGTGTGCGTGCCCTCATGTGTCTGTGTGTGCGTGCCCTCATGTGTCTGTGTGTGCGTGCCCTCATGTGTCTGTGTGTGCGTGCCCTCATGTGTCTGTGTGTGCGTGCCCTCATGTGTCTGTGTGTGCGTGCCCTCATGTGTCTGTGTGTGCGTGCCCTCATGTGTCTGTGTGTGCGTGCCCTCATGTGTCTGTGTGTGCGTGCCCTCATGTGTCTGTGTGTGCGTGCCCTCATGTGTCTGTGTGTGCGTGCCCTCATGTGTCTGTGTGTGCAACGTGCATGCACATGAGCATGAGCAGGCAGGTGGCGGTGCCGGTGTGTCAGCGCAGCAGGGACTACCACGTCAACGTGCTCGGATGGTTCCCCGCACCTTCCTCCTCCGCTGCGAGCAAGGAGAAAGAGGAGGAGCAGGAGGGCGGGGGGTGGGGCAAGGCGCGGGTGTGTGAGATTGCCAACGACCGCTGGCTGGCGTGCATTCAGAAGCAGGGTGAGGGGATGGCTCAAGGGTTGTGCATAGAAGGGGGGATAAGAACGAGGGGATAAGAACGAGGGGATAAGAACGAGGGGATAAGAACGAGGGGATAAGAACGAGGGGATAAGAACGAGGGGATAAGAACGAGGGGATAAGAACGAGGGGATAAGAACGAGGGGATAAGATTGGGGGGATGAGAGCGGGGAGATGAGAACGGGGGGATGGGAACGGGGGGATGGGAACGGGGGGATGGGAACGGGGGGATGGGAACGGGGAGATGACTGCCACGTGGCCGGCATGGCAGCGGACCTCTTAAACCCTTCATTTCGCGCTTGTGCATATCCAACTCCCCAAGTCCCCCTTCTCCCTTCTTTCCTCCCCACTGCCCTGTGGAGAGCGGAGACGACAACCAGGTGGTGGGGGCAGCAATGGATGTGTGCTCTGCATGGGCTGCACTGAGCCCCATAGACCCACTTTCTTCACCTAATGCGCACCCTACCCTCTATCCCCCGCCCTCACACCCCCGACTCTCCTCACTGCAGAGAGCGGGGACGACAACCAGGTGGTGGGGGCAGCAATGGATGTGTGCTCAGCATGGGGCGCAGTGAGCCCCATGGACCCACGGGACGATGACACGCCGCTGCCCACCACGCCTCTGCTGCTCGCTGTCACCCTCGACTGCTGCTTCTACGCCTTCTCCCTCACGCGGTAGGCTCTCCCCTTCTCTCCTTCTCCCTCACTGCCAGCCACGCCTCTGCTGCTCGTTTTCACCCTCGACTGCTGCTTCTACGCCTTCTCCCTCACGCAGTAGGCTCTCGCTTCTTCTCCCTTGCTCCTTTGCCCTGTATGCGCTCTTCTCTCCTCACCGCTGCCCGCCACGCCTCTGCTGCTCGCTGTCACCCTCGACTGCTGCTTCTACGCCTTCTCCCTCACGCGGTAGGCACTCTGCGCGACTCTACTCTTCTCTGCTCTTACCTCACCTGGCCGCTTGCCCCTTTGCCTCCTGTGCTATCTCTTCACATCCACTTCAGCCCATCAGCCATCAGCCATCAGCCATCAGCCATCACCCATCAGCCCATCAGCCCATCACCAAAACTCTAATTTTCTCTTGCCCCTCCCCTCCCCTTTCCCTTCCCATCCCGTTCCCCGTCCCCCCTCGGCAGTCTCGACAAGTTAGAAGGCCCGTCCCTCGTCCACCCTCCCCTCCCCCTCCCGCCTCCCCTCGCCTCCCTCCCCCTGCTCGCTCCCCCATCGCCCCCCACCGCCTCCCTCCAGAGCCGCGCCTCCAGCCCCCCCGCCACTCCCCCCCCTACCTCACGCCCCACACTCCCCCCTTCACGCCTCCACCCTGGAGTCGTGGCGGCCCAGGGGGGGGGGAAGAGGGAGGGGGAGGATGAGGATGAGGACACGGCTAGCAGCCCATCCCCGCCGCCCGGTGATGCAGCTGGGGAAGGCGTGGGGGGAGTGGGGGGAGCGGGGGGGGCGGGGCAGGGGGCGCCAGCAGTGAAGGTGTCCCCCATGGGGGGAGCAGCAGCGTCGTCCCTTAAGCCGGATGCCTCACAACCCTTTCTGCAGCGCCTCATGCATCCCTCCCCCGCCGCTGCTGCCACTGCTGCTGCTGTGGCTGGTGCTGCCGCCTCTGTTGCTGCTGCCTCTGCCACTGCCCCTGCGTTTTCCCCACCTTCCTCCTCCCCCGCTCCTTTCTCCTCTGCATTCCCTGCCTTTGGTTCTGCCCCTGCCTTTGGTTCTGCCCCTGCCTTTGGCTCTGCCCCTGCCTTTGGCTCTGCTCCTGCCTTTGGTGCTGCCCCCCTCTTCGGCGCTGCCTCTTCCCCCTTCGCCCCCAAGTCCCCAACCCCAGCCTCCCCCTTCGCCATGCCACCTGCAAAACCAGCCAAAACTCCCACCGCTGCTGCCCCCCCTGCTGCCAGTTCAGCCTCTCCCCCCGCGGCCTCCCCTTCCCCCCTCGCCCCTGCGCCCTCCTCCACTCTCTTCGCCCCCTTCTCCCGCCCCCCTGACTCCTCCAAGCCCCTCTCTCCCTTCCCCTTCCCCTCCTCCACCTCCAAACCCGCCTCCCCCTTCCCCTTCCCCGCTGCCCCTGCTGCTAAAGATTCCCCCCCAGCTGCCCCATCCGCCTTCCCCCCATTCGCGCCCCCCACCTCCGCCTCCCCCTTCGCCCCCCCCGGCTCCTCCTCGTCGCCCTTCGCCCCGTTCGGCTCTAAGAGCGCTCCTCTGCAAGGCCTGCCTTTCAACGCTCCTCTGCAAGGCCCTCCTTTCAACGCCTCTGCTGCTGCCACTCGTGCTGCTGCTGCTGATGCTGCTGCTAGTGCTACTGCTAGTGCTGCTGCTAACGCTACTGCTAGTGCTGCTGCTGGTGCTGCTGCTGTGGCGGCAGCAGCAGGGTCGTTGGATGAAAGACGGTTGCCTACCAAAGGAGCGTTTGTGGTGGGGAGGACAGGGAGGGAGGAGGAGAAGGAAGGGGAAGAGGAAGAGGAGGAGGGAGAATACGAGGAAGGGGAGGAGTACGAAGGGGAGGAAGGTGAGGAAGAGTATGAGGAAGGGGAGGAGGAGGAATATGAGGAAGAGTATGAAGAGGGGGAGGAAGAGGAGGAAGAGGAGGAAGAAGGGGAGGTATATGAACCAGAAGAGGCAACGCGGCCACCCATGCCCAAAGCGGAAGCAGTCTTCCCACACCCCTCCACACTCCTCCCCACCGCTCTCTCCCCCGACCAGCGCCGCTCGCTGCTCCCCAAACGCTCCCCTGCGCAATCCCCCCCACCAGCAGCGGCAGCAGGGGGGGTGATAGAGGCGCTGATAGCAGCAATGGGGGAGATGAGGGGGATGAGCGCGGAGGTGCAGGGCGCAGTGGAGGGGGGGCCGCTGGGGGAGAGGCTGAAGGAGGTGGAGGGGCGCGTGAGGGAGATGGGGAGCGCTGTGAAAGGGTTTAAGAGCGGTGTAGAGGAGTTGAGAGGGCTGGTGGAGGAGCTGAGGGATGATAATTTTATGGGTGAGTGAGAGGGCGGGGCTAGGAGGAGGGGGTGCAGACAGAGGGGGGAGGGGAGGGTGTTGGAAGGGGGGGTTGGTTGGTGTAAAGGGAGAATGGTGGTGGGACAAGCAGAGTGAGCGTCCCACTGGGTGCGCCTGCTCGCCTCCCCCTCACTCGCCTCACTGTATGCCGACTAGCCCCTGCCGCTTTGTGAGTCGAATAAAAAAACCCCCTCGCCCTCCCCCACTCCTTTTCCCCCCCCCACCAGCGGAGGACAAGGTGGTGCGGGCGTCCCACTGGGTGCGCCTGCTCGCGTCTCCCTCACTCTCCTTGCTGCATGCCGACCAGCCGCTGCCGCTTTTGAGTCGACTAAAAACCCCCCCTCGCCATCCCTCACACTTTCCCTTCCCCCCCACCTGCGGAGGACAGGGTGGTGCGCGCATCCCACTGGGTGCGCCTGCTCTCGTCCCCATTTCCCCCTCGCCCACCCCATTTCATCTGTCCATTCCCCCTCTTCCCCCTCCCCCCCACCAGCGGAGGACAGGGTGGTGCGCGCCTCGCACTGGATGCGCCTGGTCGCGTCCCCCTCACTCACCTCGCTGCACGCCGACCAGCCGCTGCCACCATCGTTGGAGCAGCAGCGCCAACGCGTACTCGCCCTCAGACAGGTGGGTGGGAAGGGTGCAGGTAGTGAGGGCTCAACCCGCGCATCTCACTGGGTGCGCCTGCTCGCGTCCCCCTCACTCGCCTCGCTGCACGCCGACCAGATGCTGCCACCATCGCTGGAGCAGCAGTGCCAACGCGTGCTCGCCCTCAGACAGGTGCGGTTAAGATGTTGCTTGCTTGTCTTAAGTGTCTTCTCCCTCCCTGCCTCCCTCGTAATCCTTTTGGTGAGCCTTTCGACCCCTCACCTGCCTGCATCACCCCTTTCCACCGCTCTGCCCCTCGTTTTCCGTCTGCGCCTCTCCCATCTCGCCCTCCCTGTCTTCCCATCACTCCCCAGGAATGCAATCTTGTCAAAAATTTGGTTCTCTGCGCTCCCCTCTCCCCTCCCATCCCCCCTTCCAGGAGGTGCGGGTGCACCTGGCAGAGCTGCAGCAGCTGTTTGACTCTCCATTCTCTGCGCTTCCTCTCCTTTCACCCCCTTCCCCCTTCCCAACCTTCTTCGCCCTTCCCCTCTTCCCCCCCACCAGGAGGTGCGGGTGCGCCTGGCAGAGCTGCAGCAGATGGCGCAGGAGGAGGAGGCACGGCGCCGCCAGGAGCAGAGGGATCGGGAGCGAGAGGAGAGAGAGCGGAGGGCGAGGACTAATCGGAGGGGGCATGGGGGCGTGTGGCCGGGGCAAGGTGTGGGGTACAGTGGGGGGTGTGGGGGCGAGGAGGATTTCTCATCGCTTACCGATCGATTTGGTGGGCTCAACGTGGCTGCTGCTGCAGGGCGCCACGGGTGCGTTGGCATTGACACTCTGAACCCAGAACCCCAAACCCCAGTCCTTGCACCCAACCGAACCACTAATCTGATGCCCTTTGTCTTGGCTCGCACACCCCTGGTCCACTGCCGTGCCTCTTCCGCTGCGCCCCTACGGTCGCTGTTGTGCCTCCAGTCCAGTCCATCTCCGCATCACCTCTCCATCCACCTCTCATGCCGGCATCCATTCCTCTTGTTTTCTTGTTTTCTTCCTCTTCCCCTTCTGCTCATAACTATCCTTCCCCTACTCTTTCCTCCCTCCCATCATCACCCTCCCTTCCCCTCTGCCCCTTCCCCGCAACCCCTCTGCAGCGCTTCCCCTCCCTCCCCCTGGCCGCCCCTAGCGGCAACAGTGAACGCGCAGCTGGCAGTGGCCTCCCACCTGCTGCACCAAACCGCCCTCCTGCGCTCCCGCCTCGCCCTCCCCCCGCTCCCCTCCCCTCCCTGCGCCCGCCGCCGTGCCTCCCCCGGTTCCTCCCCCCACACTCGCCTTCCCCACCTTCTGGATGCCCCTGAAGGAGAGGGAACGAGTGGGGGACGGGGACGGGAGAGGGAGAAGCGCAAGGGCGGGTGTGGGGGGACGGGGGTGCGGGGGAAGACGGGATCCGTGACAGCAGCAGCGATTCTTGAGTCTCTGGAGGATGGGGGGGGAGAGGGAAGGGGAGGGGGATGGGGAGGAGGGGGAAGGGGCGTGTGGGGAGGGGAGGGGAGGCAGGGGGAAGGGGACGGCAAGAGACGAGCGTCTGGGAGGATAGGGCTGAGTGCAGGGGACCTGGAGGTGGGGGGAGAGGAGGAGGGGGGCGGGGGGGAGAATGGGGTGGGGGAGAGGAAGGGGAAGAGGGCAGATGCAAAGGAGTGGGGGTTGGACAGTGTTGGAGAGCGGTTGGGAAGGGGAGGAGGGAGGGAGTGGGAGGGGGTGGAGGAGGAAGGGCGGAGGGGGGGAGGTAGGGGAGAGGGAGGTGCGATGGGCACTCCAAGGCGCAGCATGGGTGCCACGAGGAAGGTGGGTGGGGGGGGAATGTTTGGAGGAGGGGGAGAGGATGTTGACTGATGGGGAAAGGAATTGAGCTTGTGTAGGCGGGATGGAAGGGAGGTGGTGTGTGTGGCAGCAGAGGGAGTGCAGTGCTCTGATGCTGCTGCTGTCTCCCCTCCCACGTGTGCTCTGCTGCTGCTGTCTCCCCTCCCACGTGTGCTCTGCTGCTGCTGTCTCCCCTCCCACGTGTGCTCGTCTTAGCTGCTCTAACACATCCCCACCTGGTTTTCCCAGAAGCCAGCTGCTATAGCATTTCCCCACCTCACACTGCCGCACAGCCTCTCATGACTGCCCATTTCCTCCCATCCCTCTCCCCCTCCCCACCCTCTCCCTGCTCCAGGCTCTGCCGCTGCGACTCCTCTCGTCGCCCTCGCGCTCCTCCCCCACCCCCAAGCGCCCCCTTCCAGGCCTCTCCTCTTTGGGCGGCCCTACCCCCCTCCCCTCTGGTACGCGCCCGCCTGCTCTGCTCTGCTCTTTCTGCTGCTGATGCGGTTGCTGCCCCCCTGCTGCCCCTCTGCTGCCTCTCTGCTGCTGCCGTGCCGTCATGCTGCCTTGCTGACTTCCCTTCATCCCTTGTTGTGCACCACTTTCCATTGACAAGTGGATAAATCCAAGTCTCCTCTTGTATCCTCATATGTAACCAGGCCGTGGCATGGTAACGTGCTATCATACCACACCGTAGAGCCACATCATATCACAAGCTCATGCATCCATGCACCGCTGCTACAACCCTGCCAAGCCAGCCAACCCTTCTCCCTCTCTTGTCTGCATTCCGTCTGTCTCCCTTCTCCCCGCTTCCCCCGCCCAGGCCGTACTGAAGCACCGGCACCAACAGCACGAGCACAACCAGCACGTGTGCCTGCCACACGCTCACCTGCAGCACCCAGAATGAAGCTGAGGCCGAAAGCCAAAGCTAACAGGGATGTAGAGACACACACACCAGCTGCACCTCCATCCAAGCCCATCTCCCCCGCCCCACCTCCTTCTGCTTCTGCCTCATTCTCTCCTCCCGCTCGCTCTCCCTCCCCCCCTGCCCGCGCCGCATCGCCCTCCCCTGCCCATGCGTCCCGCTCCCCCTCCCCTTCCCCCACGCCCGCTGCTGTGTCCTCTCCTGCCCCCTTCCTGCCCGCCTCGACTGCTGCAACTGCCGCTACAGCCGGGAAGAAGCCAGCAGCAACAGCAGCAGGCATGGCAGGGGGAGCAGGAGGGGCAAGTACTGCTGGTGCTGGCAGTGCTTCCCCTCTCTTCTCAACAACTGCCAAGCCCACCACGTCCCCATTTCCATCCCTCTTCAGCCCCTCACCCGTCTCCTCGCAGCCAACAGCAGGGGCAGCATTGGCAGGGGCAGCATCAGCATCCTCTACTCTCGCCGCTCCCTCTCTCTCAGCTGCCTCCAAGCCACCCTCCACCTCTCCCTTCGGCTTTGCTTCCTCCTCACAATCCACCTCCTCATTCTCCTCTCCCTTCTCCTCCCCCTCCTCCTCTCCCTCGCCCTTCACTGCACCGGCCACCAAGCCATCCCCCTTCACCACCACTGCAAGTGCCTCCCCGTTCTCTTCAACTCCCTTCTCCTCCTCCCCCTTCTCCTCCTCTCCCTCACCATTCTCCTCAACCTCCCCTTTCTCCTCCGTCTCCCCATTTTCGTCCGCCTCACCATTCTCCCAGGCCAGCAATCCCTTCCAGCTTCCCAAACAGCCCGCCAAGGCACCCACTGCCACTCCGCCTGCCACTACTTCTACTGCTGCCGCCGTCACCAGTGCTGCCAGTGCTGCCAGCACAGGCACAGCCACAGCAGCATCAGAAACCGCTGCCTCTGCTGCTGCCTCTGCTGTTAAGCTGAGTGCGAATGCTACAGCCGCAGCCCCATCAGGAGCATCCGCTGCTGCTGCAGCACCCTCCCCCACCCCATCCTCTCCCCTCTCTGGCTTCTCCTCTGCTCTCCCTTCCTTCTCCTCCCCGTTCTCCTCTGCCCCTGCACCTGCCTCCCGCCCTCCGCTCTTCTCCACCACCACGCCCCTCTTCTCCTCCAAACCACTCACCCCTCCTTCCGCTGGTGCTCCTGCCGCTGTCACCCCCACCTCCGCTGCTGCTGTTGGCCCCTCTAGTGCTGCCTCTTCTGCTGCTGCTCCCTCCACCACCCCATCACCCACTTCCTCCCCAGCAGCAGCCACCACACCAGCAGCAGCAGCAACAGCAGCCACAGCTTCTGCTGCTGCCCCAGCCGTTGCCTTCCCATCCTTCACCTCTCCCTTCGCCTCCCAGTCATCCCCATTCGCCCCCTCCTCCCCCGCCCCTGCCTTGCCAACAGCCCCTCTCTCCACCCCCTCTCCCTTCCAGCCGCCCAGGTCACCTTCCCCTCAGCCCGCCCCCATGGCAGCAGGGGGGGAGGGAGGGGACGATGAGGGGATGGAGGAGGAGCAAGGAGGAGCAACTGCACCACCCACCAGTGCTGCAGGCGCCTTTGCCTCGCTGGGATTTTGCTCCTCTGCTCCCCGCCCCTCCACCACCCCTGCCAACCCCTTTGGAGGCTCTCCTTTCGGCGCCCCTTCCTTCGCCTCTCCCGCCTCTGCCTCTGCCTTCTCGCCAGCCTCCCAGCCTGCCTTTGGCGCCAACAGCACCTCTCCTAATCTCTTTGCACCGGCCTCCTTCGCACTCCCTGCCGCTTCATCCTCCTCCCCTGCCTCCTCCTCCCCCTTCGGTGCTCCCTCTTCTCTCGGCACTCCCTCTCCAGTCGCCCCTCGCCCCTTTGGCACTACTGCTGGTCCCTTTGCCTTCCCTGCCTCCCCCTCCTCCCCCTTCGGAGCTGCTGCTGCCCCTGCTGCTGCCCAAACCTCTCCCAGCTCAGGGACAGGCTTCGCTCTGGGCGCGTTCGGGCAGACGCGAAACATTTCAGGTGCCCCTGCGTTTGGGGCTGCTGCCCAGTTATCTGCGGCAGCACCAGCTGTGTCTCCATTCGCTGGGTTGGCGACAGGAGGCGGCTTTGCTGGTGCCGCCCAGGGAGGTGCGTGGCGCCTGGGGTTTGCAACCCAGTTCCAACCCAACTCAGTTACTTGACCCATGACTCATACATGCTTTACATGTCAAGTCCTTTCCTGTGCCTAACCCATGATCTCATCACCTCAACACCCCTTGACCCATAACCCCCCATGTGAATGCCCATGCCACCATGTGTTGCCATCATCATCATCATCATCATCATCATAATTCAGGAGGGGGCTTTGGGGCGTTTGCCAACAAGCCTGCAGCACCGGCCTCCCATTCTTTCATGCCAGCCTCGCCTGCCTCTGCCGGCCCTCCTGGGCTCTTTGCCATGCGCAAGTGAAGCTTGTCTCATCGTATCCTGATGCTGGTTCGGACTTCGTGTTGCGGCTCAAAAGCACTCTCAGGAATGTGCGACTTCATCTCAACAGTGCAGTGTTAGTCGGTTGTTTTGTTTTCATGCGGTCCAATCGATTGTAGAGTTCAGCTTAGAAAAAGACGTAGTGTGATTGCTGAACGAGACTAGCACATTCACAGCTGCTTCAATCTCCTGGAAGTATCAAGCATAGTATGCATACCTTGGAACCAATACTGTCTTACTCAAACTTAAGAGTTCATTTACTATTATACATAGGCGCCAATCTGGGGCTTCGAATGTGGACAATTAAAAGGGGGTGTCCAGAGACGGAGCACCACTCGCGGAGGACCTTTTCCCGCGTATGTGATTCAGCGACCCGAGGAAGCAATCCTGGATCACCGACCAGAAGGTCGTTTCACGATTGGGACCCAAGAGTCCCCATTCTCTGTGTCCGCGCTAACCTCGCTGGGTGGACTGTTTTCTGGTTCAATGAACTCGTGTGCAAACGGTTGTTGAAAGCTTCTGTCAGTTCCCGTGTACAGCTGTCAGCAAATCAGCTCGTCTGACGTGTTCGCGAGCTCGAGCGCGTGGCCGAACACCCAGTCCAGCGCAGCAATGCCATGGAAACCCCGATTCCCTCTAGTCACGATCGCACCGTCAAATCCCTCGCATTCCATCGCCTCTGGTTGGATCTTCGACCTGACTAAAGTCGCGGCGGATAGGGAGCGGGAGAGGGAAATGCATATGCGAATGAATATGCGAATGCGAAAAGGACCACAGCGCCCCAGGTGTCGCACATGCCGCAACCCTGCCATCACCAACGTTCCCCTGCACACACTCGGCTTTCTCACTTGCTCGTTTCGCCTCGGCTCGCACCAAAGCTCTCAACAGCCCGCCCACTTGTGAACTCTGTTGCACACCCTCGGTGGTCTCTCGCTTCCCTCATCCTCGCCGTTTCTTGCTCCTCGCCGCTCTCTTATGACGACGCTTTCTCGACCTCCTCCGCACTTTCTCGTTGACTCTTCTTCGCTATCATCATCTCGTGTCGCGACTCGTAATCTAGTCTCCTCTTTCACGCAAATCATCAAACCTCTTTCGCAAACCGCGCGAATGGCACCCGGGACCTTCCGTGCCGCAGCGGCGTCCGCCGTTCATTCCGGCGGAAGCTTCGGGGGAATCGACTCGCAAGCGCAACAGCACGCGGACCCCGGCGGAAGCCGTAATGCGCAGTCGAGCGGGGTAGGAGTGGCGGAGAAGTACGGGCTGCTGGCGGCGGTGATTGCGGCGCGCGGCGGGTGCGCGGTGCTGGACGGCGGGCTGGCGACGGAGCTGGAGCTGCGCGGCGCGGACCTCAACGACCCGCTCTGGTCCGCCAAGTGCCTCATGGAGGAGGAAGCTTCCAGCCTCGTTCGCAAGGTGCGCTGCGGTTGGCAACGGGCAAATCTTTGTCGTTAGTCGGGATTTGCGAGGAACGAGTGGCGGTGCAGCCTGAGGCAGTCATGGCTGTAGCCGCGTCGTGCTGAGCGCGCCCGCATCGCTACATTTGACAGGCATGGCGCGTCCCGCGGATCGGACTACACGTACGCAGCGGAAACCGTCCGTTGCACGTGCCGCCGCTGACAGACCGCCAGAGCAGCGAGTGATGGTTCCCCCGTGCCCTCCGACTCTCACCCGTACCAACCATTCGTTCATCTGCCCCCCATTCCCCCCCATTCTGGCCGCCCCCAACCCCTTTCCCCCATCGGCACGCGCAGGTTCATCTGGACTACTACCGCGCGGGCGCCGACATCTCCATCTCCGCGTCGTACCAGGTGCGGGTGCTGTAGCTCGATGAGTTGCCACTTCAGGCAAGTAGTGCTATTTTAGGCAAGTAGCGCTGATTCGCGGAAACACTGCCAGTATGAGGCTGCTTAAACATTTGTCACTCGGCACGTGTCACTACCCACCACGTATCCAAACAATAAAATGATTCAGCATTAACATTCCGCCATCGTCCACCCAATCCTCGTATCCCACCTCAGATTTTTCTGGATCTACCTCAATCTTCCCCCGCGACTTATGCGTAGTTGCTTGGACAATCTTAATCGATTTGTACCGCGTTTTCTAATTATCCTCCTTTTCCGCCTTCCGTTCTCGTTTCGTCTTTGCCTTTCCGCCCTCTCTTCCTCCCCCGTCTTCCCGCCATTCCCCATCCACCCACTCGTCCCCGCACCTCGGCGCCCCCCAGGCGACCATAGAGGGCTTCACGGCGCGCGGGCTGTCGAAGGGGCAGGCGGAGGCGCTGCTGGCGCGGAGCGTGCAGCTGGTGGGGGAGGCGCGGGACCGCTTCTGGGCGCAGTACTGCGCGGAGGCGGAGCGGAGGGGGGAGCGGGTGGAGCGCGCGGAGGGCGGCGTTGAGCGCGTGGCGGGACGCGTGAAGCCGCTGGTGGCGGCGTCCGTCGGCAGCTACGGCGCGTTCCTCGCGGACGGCTCCGAGTACAGGTGGGTGGGGGTGCGGGTGCGGTGGGGTGGGATGGGGTGGGGTGCGTGCGAGAACAGTTGCGTGCGATTACAGGTTCGTGGGTTGCGGTTGATTGTGGATTGGGGTGGGAGTGCGGGTGCAGGTAGGAGTGGGGGTAGAGGTGGGTGCACGAGCAGTTGGGCAGGGGATGCGAGAAGCACAGGCTTGGCGGCAGGTGGAGGTTGCGCAGACGTGCAGTGAAGAGGGTTGGGTGAACTGAAGTGCACCCTCAGATATACTCACGGGTGAGAGTAAACATGAGAGAGTGGAATGAGGTGGGGAAACACTTTTCTGCGTCAGATGTACTTTAAGCATCCTTCTACCTGCGTCGCATCCTTGCCCGGAGAGCACATGCGTCTCGTGTCCTGGTGCCCTGCGGCCCACCCTCTCCCCCACCCCTTGCAGTGGCGACTATGGCGCGGATATGACAGTGGAAGCACTCATGGACTTCCACCGCGCTCATCCGTGCTGTGTCTCGTATGCTTGCACGGGGAACACATGTGTCCCGTGTCCTGGTATCCCGCGGCCCGCCCCCTTGTGTCCCCCTGCAGTGGCGACTATGGCGCGGATATGACAGTGGAACGACTCATGGACTTCCACCGCCGCAGACTGCAGGTGCGTGCCATACCATGCCATGCCCAGCGTTAATCCTGCTGCACGGCATGGTCGAGCTGCATGTGACATCCGTGTTGCTCTTCATCTGCTTCCCAACCTTCACATGCCTGTGGTATTCCGTTGGGGCTCTTCTTCAGCTCATGCTGTCCACGTGTCGTGCCGCCCCTTGCTGTGCCGCCTTTGGTGTGCCGCAATTGGTGTGTTCCGTCCCTGTATGCTGCCCCTGGTGGCGTGTCGTCCGTGCTGGGTCCGCCTTGCCTGGGGGGAGCAGGTGCTGGCAGCAGCAGGGCCGGACATCATAGCCATGGAGACCATCCCGTGCCACATCGAGGCTCAGGTACACACCATGCTGTGCCATACCACGTGTCATGTCAGGTGGTGCCATGTCCTTGCCATACCCCATGTCCTTGCCATACCCCATGTCCTTGCCATACCCCATGTCCTTGCCATACCCCATGTCCTTTCGATACCATGCCTTACCACACGATGCCATCTCATGGCATTCCTTTCACGGCTTGCCATGATTCGTCACTCCTATACCATGCTGATGCACTCCTTCTCCTCGGTGCATCTCATCTCCTTGGCACCGCCACCCTCCCAACTCTCCTCACCGCCCTCTGCCCATTCCTCCTACACCCTCTCCCCGCCCTCCCCCTCTCCTCAGGCCCTGGTGCAGCTGCTAGAGGAGCAGGCTGCCTCGGGCGCAGCAGCAGTGCCAGCGTGGATCAGCTTCAACAGCAAGGACGGCCGCACGGCACCGTCAGGCGACCTCTTCTCTTCCTGCATCGCCACCGCTGCTGCCAGCCCGCACGTGGTGGCCGTGGGGATCAACTGCACGCCGCCCCGCTTCATCCTGCCACTGCTGCATGCCGCTCGGAAGGTGAGGCAGAAGAGGGTGGAAGCGGTTCTGTTCGGGGTGGGCTGTGCCATGTTACGCTTTTCAAAACACCGCTGAACATGAGGAAACGGAATAAGCATTACCTTGGCAGTAGGCAGACAATTTAGATTAAACAAGCCCCTCCTGTTTTGCCCCTCCTTCCCTCCCCCTTTCATTCATTCTGCATGTGTGGCCACATGGCAGGAGACATCGAAGCCACTGGTGGTGTATTCCAACTGTGGGGAGGCGTGGGACGGCCTCACCAAGCCCCTCCTCTCTTACCCCTCATTCCTCCCTTTCCTCTCTTGCCCGTGTCTGCTCGCATGACAGGAGACATCGAAGCCACTGGTGGTGTACCCCAACAGTGGCGAGGCGTGGGACGGCATTAACAAGGAATGGGTGGTGCGTGCTCTGCCCCGCTCCGCTTTGCGCCCCTCTGCTCCTCTCCACTCCCTGCTATTTTCTGCTCTGCTTTGCTCCTCTGTCGTTCTGTCCCCTTCTCTACTGCTGCATACTGCTCCATCACCCACCGATCCCCTCGCCTCACTCTCCGTCCGTCCCTTGAGTCATGTGATAAGTGATCTCCCTTCCACACGCCCCTCACCCATTTCACGCGCTAGCACCCTATTCTCCTCTATTCCCCCTTGGGCCTTGCCACATCTCTCCCTCCGTGCAGCCATGCAGTGGGCTGAGTGATGACGGCTTTGTGTCGTACGCACCCGAGTGGGTGAGCGCCGGGGCGGCAGTGCTGGGCGGCTGCTGCCGCACCACGCCACACACCATCTTCAGTATTGCCGAATGCATTCACTGCCGAGGAGAAAAAGGGGCAGGGTGGAAGCGAGTGGGGCCTATCGTTGTTCGCACAGACACAGAAGTAGATGCAGCAGTTGCAATATGACATGCTTTGCTAGCACTACTTGCTTTTCGTATCCGATCAGCGTTTTGTAAATACTCATTTGCAGTTGTACCTTCAGGCCTATTTTGTTTTCATTCGAAGTAATGGTTCTGTTTCTTTGAGATTGGCGAACATGAGCTTCACCACACACTATCCTTTGAGATTTCACCAAGTGGCTGTTTAGCAGTCTTTGAAACAATGTACAGTAAGGGTGTTACAAAGCTGAAGACTCGACACACTGAATCTGGTCAATGTAGGCCATTGTCTTGAAACACTGAATCAGACCGTTTGGCGTCTCGACCAGAGGCAGAGCCGCACATCTCGCCACACCAACCACGTGTTCCCCCAACACGGATGAATTCAGCAGCCAAAATGCATGGCTGCTTTGGTTCGCTTGGTGGCTCCAATTCGGGATGGAGGGTTTTCTAGCTCGGCATGCTATTGGTTCGGTGGCTGACGAACCATATCTCCGCGCCTCGGATCCCGCACATCGAGGGCCCAAGTGTGGGGAGGGGTCCAGCCAATTGGTTTGGTGGCTGTCTGAACACCAAGCCTGTCCGCACGTTCCCCGCACACCACCACTTTTCCCTCCCTCCCCCAAACCTTTGTTCAGGCCACCGCCATTTTTTGCGCTGCTGGCCTCGTTCTGTGCAGTCTGCTTGGCTCCTGGTCCCCGCCCCGCGTTTTCTTGGGAAGGGGTTTGTTTGGAGAGGCTGTGCAATCTGCGGTGCGGTGCGTGGTTTTCATGGTTTGGTGTGCACAAGGGCACAGATTCTCCACTCCACACTGCCTAGAACTCCGGCGCGCGCGATGTAGCCCAAGGTCCCCGCACCTGTCCTGTCGAGGCAAACCAAAGCCAGCTTCGCGATGAGCTTTTTCCGCCCCATTCGCGATGTTGCCCGCGCGCAGCGGAACCCAGACCAAGCCTCCTCCCCTGTTGCATCTGATCTGGACTCGTTTCGGACGGAGAGCCCGAATGCGCGCGTTCTCTCCGCTCTAACAGGAGCTTGTCAGCACCAGTCCTCGCTCCTGGGTGTGTCCTGTCCTCATATATCTTTTCTCACCACAAGTTGAATGATAAGGCAGCCACACAGGATAAGCGTTCCTCTTTCCAGAATCTAGAAGTTGCTGCATTATTTGCTCCGTAGTGTGTTCCAGCCTTAGTTTTCTAGCCTAGCTCCTCCATATACGACTTTCCGCACGTCTTGACGCTTTCGTCCCTCTACTAGCGGTACACCGCAGAAAAGCCGCCATGGGTGCGTCGATCGAGGCGGTGAATGACGAGCAGCCGCCGTTGTCGCGCGAGCAGGGGTCGTCGCGCGAGCACCAGGTGATGGTGCCGCACGCGTCGATAAAGGACGAGCTGAAGGAGACGTTCGCGCCGGTGAAGCAGCTCATGGTCATCGACAGCGACCCTTTCAAGACGTACCGCGGCAAGACGGCGGCGCAGCGCGCGAAGATGGCGCTGTTCTACGTGTTCCCCATCCTCGAGTGGGTATCCAACTACAAGTTCTCCAACCTCTTCGGCGACGTCGTCGCAGGGCTCACCATTGCTAGTCTCGCCGTCCCCCAGGTGAGCGGCGTTGCCAGCTTTTCAGTAGACTCTTCCCCGCATCATTTTCGCGATCCGAACGCTCCTTCCTGCTCAATGCGGACGCGCTCCTCCCACGCGCTGCGCTTCGCTCCCCCATTGCCTCAACGCGTTCCGCCGTCCCCCTTTCCTGTCGTCGCCTCCCGTGCAGGATCTCGGATACGCGAAGCTCGCCAAGCTGCCGCCCATCAACGGACTTTGTAAGCCCCTTTCGCAGCCCTCCGCGCAATTCGCAGTTTACATTCGTTCCGCCCCCCCCCCCCCCCCCCCCCCCCCGCTTCTCTGCGGTCGCATTGAACCTCCTCTCAGTTGCCAACAGCTGGTTCGTCGCGTCGCGTTACTTTCCTCCATGATTCTCTAAGCCCCCCCTCTCTCCCCCCACTCCTTCAACACATTCTTAACGTCTCCCGCTTCTCCTCCCCTCCACGCTCCCGCCGTCTCCCTTTTTCCCCTTCCAGACAGCAGCTTCGTGCCGCCGCTGATATACGCGGTGCTGGGCACGTCGCGGCACATCGCGATCGGGCCGGTGGCGGTGGTGTCGCTCCTACTAGGCGACCTGCTCACCAAGTACTACGACTCGGAAAAGCAGTCCGCGCAGTACCTGAACCTCGCCATCACCTCCACCTTCTTCGCGGGCATCTACCAGCTCGCGATGGGCATCTTCCGCCTCGGCTTCGTGATCGATTTCATGAGCCACGCGGTCATCGTGGGGTTCATGGCGGGCGCCGCCATCACGATCGCGCTGCAGCAGCTGCGCGGGCTGCTGGGGTACACGTCGTTCACGCAGGAGACGGACATCGTGTCGGTGCTCGAGTACGTCTTTCAGAACACGGACCAGTTCAATTGGCGCGCGTTCCTCATCGGCATGTCCATGCTCACCTTCCTCCTCACGCTGCGCTTCTTGGCGCACCACTTCAAGGGCCGCAAGGTGGTCAGCAAGGTGTTTTTCTACCTCAACTGCGTGGGGCCCATGATGGCCGTGATCGTATCGACGCTCGCCGTGTGGCTGACGAACGCGCCCGTGCCCAAGGTGGGCAAGATGCAGAAGGGGTTGGCGGGGCTGGGGTCGCTGGGCAAGCTGCAGCTGTCGGGGCAGGACGCGGCGGACGCCGCCGTCGTGGGGCTCATCGCGGGGCTCGTCGCGCTCACGGAAGCGTCGGCCATCGCGCGGACGTTCGCCGCGTTACAGGGTTACCATGTGGACGGGAACAAGGAGATGATCGCGCTGGGCGCGATGAACATCGCGGGGTCGTTCACGTCGAGCTACGTCACCACGGGGTCGTTCTCGCGCTCCGCCGTCAACTTCAACGCGGGCGGCGCCACCATGCTGACCAACATCGTGATGTCGTTTGTTGTCATGATCACGCTGCTGTGGGTGACCCCCGCGTTCCAGTACCTGCCGAACGCGACGCTAGCGGCGATCATCATCAACGCGGTGCTAGGCTTGCTGGACTACGAGGCCATCTGGAAGATCTGGAAGGCCGACAAGGTGGATTTCATTGTCGCGCTCGGCACGTTTCTGGGCATTCTGTTTGACTCGGTGGAGACGGGGCTGCTGGTGGGCGTGTGCCTGTCCATGCTCAAGATTCTCGTGCAGATCACGCGGCCGCACCTGGCCACGCTGGGGCTGGTGCCGGGCACGGGCGTGTATCGCAACATTCAGCAGTACCTGCAGGCGGAGGTGACGGAGGGCGTGTTCGTGCTGCGTGTGGACGGGCCGCTCTACTTCCCCAACGCCAACTACGTGCGCGAGAAGGTGCTCTCGCTCGCCGACGCGTACAGAGACAACCACAACGGCGACAGCATCACGGTATGTTGCCCTAACCCTCGCCCACGCCCACGCACTTGGGGATTCCCCCGCCCGCCTGTTCACCCCTCTGTTGTGCCAACGGTGAGGTGCGCCCCTCTGCTGCCACACTAGCTCAGTGCTCACAATTCCCTCCTCTTGTGGGCTCTCAAGAGCTCAGCACTCCAGTTCTCTGAGCACTCTTCCAGCGCAGCTCTTCTCACCTCTTTCCAATCTCTGTGCGTGGATCCTTCTCCCCCTTGTGCAGCATTTCGTGTTGGACTTCACACCCGTGGCGGACATAGACACGACAGGCACGCACGCACTGCAGGAGCTGCATGGGCTGCTGTCCAAGCAGGGCGTGCAGCTGGGTATCAGCAACCCCTCGCGCATGGTGCTGCGCAAACTCGTTGCGTCCGGGTTTCTCGAGGTGCTGGGGGAGGAGTGGCTGTTCCTCTCGGCTCATGAAGCCGTCAAGTCGTGCAGGACATTTAGACTATCTATTAAGGACGTCTGATTAGGACTGCCAGGTGCATGGTAGACATACAATTGCCAGCTGCAGTTGGCTGGTTTGTAAAGTAAAGGTGCTCAAACAAAGCTCTGAAAGTGAGGACTGCTAGTACTGATATTGGAATGCATGTCCCAAGACGACCAGAAAGGATTTTTCTCGCTATTCCTCACTGCGGCCGTCCACATCGCGTACAGCAGCAGCCGTTGTTCGCCCGTTACTGCTAACGGGGCTTCACCAACTTCGTGCGCACTGTTTCACCAGACCTCGCACTGCTGGAGCAGCAGAGTCTGCCTACGCTTCGGGACTAGCCCGAACCTCGCGCCAGCGTAGCACTAGCTAGCTGCATGCTCCGCGTTACCGTTTGCACATTTTCGCGTATAAGTATTTGCTTATGCCTTCGCTCATACGTTGTACTAATTGAACGCTCTAGTGCAATCCTCGCCACCTCGATTCATTGCAACCGCAACACTTGGTTATCAGAGCCACTTTCTTTCGGACCGTGCCTCTCCGCACCCCAGGAAATCAACTTTTGTTTTTTCCCTCGAAGGGACTCACGCCCCCTTAGCAGCTAGGAGCCACTGTCCTCGCGTTCGTAAACGCGTGCAGCCACGACTGCGCATAGACTAAGCTGAGCCGACGCCCTTCGTTATGGCTGAACACATCGACGTCACGACGCTCACGCAAGACCGTTTGAACGAGCTTTTGCGACAGCTCCACGAAAGCTCTGAAGAAATCGCGGCACTGACGGCCGAATGCACGTCCCTGCAAAATGATGTCGCACGAGTACAGAAGCACAATCACAAGCACTTGGCACTCAATTCCGAGCGTTTTTCTTCCGTTCGGTCACGCGGCTGCGTGCGTTTGGACATATTACCAAGCCAGCAAGAGCGCGGGAGGGTAACGGGCATGATCG